TACAAGGAGAAATACAGATTTTAAAATAGCACTTTCTTGATGTTAGACCAGAACCATGTTGTTACACAATAATGCCATCTTATGGCTATTCATCAATTTGTACTCTAGGAATTACTTTCATTTTTATTATCTCATTTGAACTGTACTACACTCTTAGGCTTTAAGAAATAATTTTCTGAAAATGTGGCAGATTTATTAATATTTTGAGACATAGAAATATGGTATTAGATTGAAATTAAAGAAAAACAGGACAGTATCTGGCACTTAGTAGGTAGGCCCTTCTTGTTTTGGGAATAAGAAAAGGGCTTTGTTTCTCTAATACCAGATAGATCTTATGTTAATTCTTTATTTTCATATTTCCTGTAGGTAAATTTTATAAGAAGTGAGTATCTAGCAATTAGCCAATAAAAACAGAATTGATCAATAAGGTACATATTTATCTCCTATGTGTATACACACACACACACACACACACACACACATATATATATATTATATATGTGCGTGTGTGTGTGTATATATATATATATATCCATAGATCATGATATTTGTGGATTTAATGTTGACTATGTTTACTATTTGTGAGCAACAAAAACACCTCTGGAAAGGAGTCACTTTTAACATTTTAATTATTTGTAACTTTGCTAAGATATGTGCTGTAATTCTATTTGCTGGAAGACAATTTTGGAAACAGTTTTCAAGATAATGAGTGAGCAGTCACAAATCAGTTTGGTTTTAATTCCTTCCTTGTCCTCACCTAAAGAGTAATGTCTGCTTTATTTTATGACATATAATAAAGGTGAGCTTTGCAATTATAACATTCACGAATTGGGTGATTGATAGTCTCAGAATTTATGACTTAGGAATGCTGAGAATCTAATGCATTTTCTCTTATTTGTAACTTTTTGTGAGTAAAATATGTGATCCTATTAGAATTAAATATTTTTGTGAGAAAAATGCAGATGTGCCATTTAGTATGTGCTTGGGCAAGTCACTTGACATCAAGTCACTTAACCTTGGTGTAATTTAGCTTTGTCCTCTGTAAAATAAAAAAAGGAAGGAAAAAATGCTAAGTTGTTTTCTGGCTATAAAAAGTTTAGATTATCAGATTATTGTTCAGCTAATATTAATGTATCTATCTTCTTCCACTATAAGAAGAAACTGCTTTACCAGTGTAGCAATATCAGTCTTATCCATGTGATTTGCCTTCGTCAAAGAAATGTCAGTGGCCTTGACAGGAGTTGAGATTTTAGTGTTCATGGCAGGTTAGACTTGATTCATGCTCTGAGGATACATCATTAGAAGAGCATGCCACTGACCCTTTATCTTAGGCCCAGAGTAAAGACATACATATCAGATCTTAATTTAACATGAATTGTGGATCTTGAAGCAGAGCTTCCTAGCCAAACCCAGGCTGAGTCACCTAAATTAAAAGCAACCAAATGTTCAAAAACATCTGTTATTTTAAGTGTTAAAGTTTGGGGGTGATTTATATCATAGCATCATTGTGTTAATAGTGGGCTAATACAATATTATACATGGAACATATATGAAAAATTACTGATAGAACCCTTCTTACTGACTCAAATGAATTTTGATTTAAACTCAACTTGGCTTATTTAAAATTCAGCAGATTTTTGTCAAAAACCCAACATGAAGGCTGTACTGGACTATGTCTATTTATGATAGCATAGCTTCTAAATCTGTCCCCAAACTTAAGAATCTACCATTGTATTGGTCTCAGTGAGACACAAGGTCCTGATTATCATTATAACCCTTACCAATCCAAGTTATTCATTTTCCCTGTCCCTTGGAAATTAGAATCTAGTTCCATGATATAAGCCTATGTTACAACAGGAGTCTTCAATTTATGGTCCATCCACAAAATCTAGTCTGCCGACTATTTTGGTAAATAAAGATTTCTCAGAATAAGTGATGCTGATTCATTATGTATTGCCTATGGTTTCTTTCACCCTGCAGTAGCAGAAATGAAAAATTCTGAAAGAAACTACAGGGTCTATACAGACTAAAATATTTGTTAATTGGTACAGAAAATAAACAAACCTCTGCTTTATCAGGTTCTTTTGACAGAAACTTTAATTGTAAAGTGAGTAATTTAGAAATTTCTTGACAGTGACAGTAAGCAGGGCACTTTCAGTTGGAATGATTCACCTGTAATAGCAGTGGATCATGGCTATGACACCAATCTGTAATTCATATTTACCTTGTATCTTAGTGCTGGATATGGTACTGGATGTCTAGCCTTGTTTTAAACCTGACTAAGGCCTTCTCATCCATCCAATGAGACATTTGATATCCTTCTGTAACTATGTGCATTACATAGTTCTACCTAATGTAATCAGAGTTACTTTCTGTTATTTGTAGGACAAAATGTTGAATGGTCTGCACATTTTCATTTATTCCTGAGTCTGAGTAGAATGTTTTCATTCCACTCCCCAGGGATCTTATTCTTGCCTACTATCAGAGCTCATATACATCAACCCATTTTTACTGGCTGGTTGTTCATTTTCTCTCCAGGACTGGGAAGTTGCTCAAATCAGAAACTGAGTCTAATTCATTTCTCTGTGGTGATCAGGAAATTTTGAAAGAGTTTTCAAATAAATTAGTGTCCAAGATTTTCAATGCCATGATCATCATTTCCTCATCAAAATAGTCACTGTAACTGAATGATTACCAGGTATACGAAATCTACTCTGCCCTCTATATGTACTATGTCAACTAATCCTCATAATGATCCAGCCACATAGGTACTATTCAAATCCTATTTTACAGTGGAGGAGTTTGTAGAGCATAAGAATTGGGAACTTGCTTTAGAACCCATAGCAAAGCTGGGATTCTAAAACAGATCAGACTCTGGGGTTTCTGCTCCTAAGCAAATACTTAAAACAGTTTAATCTGAGACTAGAGTAGAAATCATGGAAAATGGAAAGGTTCATGACTAATTCCTAGAAAAGATCAACTGGAGTAAAATTAGAAGTCTCTTCTGGCTCTGGTTAAGGAAAAAGTGGATCTACTAGGTAAGAAGACACTCTTGTCTTTTGCTAGAAATTGGAAAGATCTCAGATATATGGTGAGATTTTAACTACTCTGAGGAAGTTCATTAGTGCTTGTGCTTCTTTTTAAGTCTGGGATTGAAGGTGAACTGGAAGGGAAATGTCTGTATGGTTCTGTGAAAAGTAAATGTCTGGTTCATTGGTCAAAGATGACTTATAAGTATAGGAGAAGCTTCACAAAGCACAAAGTATTCTCTTTTCTTTAGTGTGAGAATAGTAGGTACCTACAGAATTATAGTAATCACTGGCCACTCAAGAAACCCCAGAGGTACTTAGGGAATGGTGGATAGACAGGAATGCTGGGAGAAAAAGTGACTGAAGAGGATAAGAGAGAAACAAGCATGTTCTGACATTGTAATGAGTACTCCAAAAGAAGGTAATAAAACTGATCTCATTGGAGAAGCTTGCAAGAATCAATGGGGAATATTGAAATTATATTAGAGTGGTAAAGACTGTCTTTTCAGTGTATACACAGGATTTCTGAATTTCTATTCCTTCATTCAGCCTGATTCAGACATTCTAGAACCACATGTTTTCAATTTGAGATATATCTATTATGCCATCCAAGGGAGTAATATTCTCAGCTTTATGGAAGGATTTTGAATCCAGATATATGGGACATCTACTTTATATCCAGCACTATATTAGATATGAGTACATCACATAAAATAAAAAAAAATAACCATAGCCTTTAAATAGCTTGTGAAAAAGGCAAAAAGTAAACAAATTGCTAATTATATGGTAAAATGGTAGAAATAGGTCCTATCAAAGAATGTACTCTACAGGGTAGCCACCAAGTCTGAAAACATTTGCAAATACCAAGTGATTTATTGGTATTATATTTTACATTATATGGTAAAACAACATCTAAGTTTCCAGACATCATGATCCAACAATAGTCTTAGAATATTAAGATGAATATAATACCTTAGGTGAGACATGAAGGATAGGTAGGACAGAGAACATAGAACATTTTGGGGACCTATAAAATTTAAATGTTGCTAGAGCACAATTTTGGAAAGGTGTAAAACAGGAAGTGAATTATAAGCAGTGGTGCTGACCAGATGAACATGGGTCATGGGAAGGCCAAAAATGCCCTGTTAATGAGTCTGAAAATTTTTGTCAGAGAAATGATATGCGAGTATAAAAGTTCTTATATTTCAGAAAAATAACTCTGGATAAAACCCTTGGGAATAAACTATGAAAACTCAGTGGAGACAACTGAGATTTTAATGTTGGAAGTATCTGTTTTAGAGCCTAGAGTAGTAAACTAAGTAATAAAATGAAAGTAAGGATGGCTAGAAATGGACAGAGGTTAGAGATTCTAAAACTAATATTATTTTAAAAATGGTTTGATTTTCTCTGGGAGCAGAGAAAAACTTAGAAAACTAAATTCAGAGTACAAAACTTTGAAATAAATTGTTCTACACTGTTAGAGAACTTTATTTAAACCTCAAATTTTAAAAGAAAACAACATTTCATGTGATGCGAGGTCAAGGAATTTATATGAATGTTCCCTAAAGTAACTAAAAAGTAAAAAAGCTGAATATTTTAAGTAAGGTAAGTACTAAAATGATTTTAAATCAATTCAACAAATTCTCCATAGCAAAAAAAAAAGTAGACAAGGAGGAGATGTATATTTTATATTCTCCAATTTTTCATACTGCCTCAATTAAATGAACAAACCTACTTTGACATTACCTGAAATTTTAGAGGATGATGCAATGTTCCAACATGTTAATTTCTGTAAAGAATAACTTCTAGAATCAGTTCATTAGTATGAATTGTTCCTCATTATATGTTTTCATTCCACTTACCTTTTTCCAATGATAATGCTTCTCTTGCTTTTCCTGTCATATTTCATGGAGGGCATTGAAATAAATCTAGAATTCCTTAATCATTCAATAAAATGGAAATGTTACCTACCCTTGTCGGTCCTTGTACATTCTGTTCACTTTGTCCCATTGGAAATCCAGCTGTGAGAGAGCTTCCTGTAGTTTTGCCCTTTCCACTGGCATGGCACTTTGTAATGCTGCTGTCTTCTTGTTGTGAATTATGTCAATTCGACCTGAGATTTGTTGCAGACTGTCCTTTATATTCTGTAATATTGAAATTTTAATACAAGTAAAAGATAAATCACCCTTCTATGGAAAAAAAGAAACATATATCTAGAAATAATGGACTGTCCTGCAACTCGTATTGACTTTTTAAAGTTATTAGCCTTTTGAAGTCCAAGGACTTCAACATGCATAAACCGAATAGGTAATTCATTGTCCTCATCCTGATATAGTTCATAACTCCCTATATCTTAAAAATGCCTTCATTTGGATTCTCTAACTCTAGCTTTACTGTGTTTTCTTCAACCTTCATGCCCACAGTTCTACCTCATTTTCTCTATCCTTTCTCCTTAATGGATCTCAATATTGGAAGGGTCTAGGTCAGTGTTCACACTTCTTTCCTTCTCTAGCCATATGCCATCCTAATTGTTCCTATGAGTTCAATATCCTCTAAAAGACAATGATGTTCAAACTTTTATTTCCATCTCAGACCTCTCCTGAATTCTAAACTAACAAACCCAAGTACTTTTTTATACTAGGATGTCCCATGAGCATCTCAGACTAAGTATGTCCCCAATAAAATTCTTACTTCCTCCCTTGGTAGAGGTCTTACAGAAATAAACATTGTTGCTTGCCTAGATTATTGCAACTATTATTGAAATGGTCCACTTTGTTACATTCCTGCCCCTCTTCCAGTCAATTCTCTACACAACAACAAAATATTGTTTTTATTGGTGCATTAAAATTATACATAATAGTGGGGTTCATTTGCATGTGCACATGACATAATTTTGTCAATTCTTTTAATACCTAAATTGGATCATAATACTCCTCAAAACCCTCCAATGTCTCATCAAACCCATTTTCTTTATCGTGGCCTATGAATTTCCATGAAACTTGGTTTTATGCCACCTACCTTTCCAACCTTATTTTTTCCTAGTATCCACATAGTTGACAATATTCCATCTCATAAGCCTCTGTGCATTCTTGAGTATGCTAAGCATACTCTTGCTTCAGGGTTTCAAAAGTTTCTGTTATCTCCACCAAATGCACTTTTCCCGAATAACATTTATATGACTTCTTTCTCATCTTAGAAGAAACATGTCTATCACTCTATTTTAAATATTAGCTCCCACCCTTCATATTTCCCTGTATTTTTTCATGTCCCTATGACTAATATTAAATTATATATCAAGAGATCTGTGTACACCACTAGATTAAACTCCACTAGGTGGGGAGGTTTCGTCTATTTTGTTCTCTGTTGGATTTCCAGAGTTCAAACAAACAACTGGCACATGATGAGTATCTAATGCTCCTCTGTTGAATAAATGAGTAAATTAATGTATCTCACAAATTAACTTCATAATTTCATCTATATTATATTTAAGGGGAAATCACAAACCACAAATTCATTTTGTAAAAATTAAAATCTTTAAAAATATTGATTCCCCAAATTTGCTTAAATAATACATACTTGGATAGTCTCTTTAGTATAAGTCTGGCTATTTTTTTTGTCATTTGAATTGTTGTAGACAAGACTGTTGGATAAATATTTGCTTAGCTTTTACCATCTACAAGGAGGAATATAGGGAATGAAAGTAAAAATGGATGATGTTGTGCTCATTTGTAAGAAGTTTAAAATGGATTATATAGTGGTAATAAGGGAGGGTGTGGTTCAGAGAACTGAAGGAATAGAAAAAAATAGAGAAGCCTCAGCTAAATGAGAAAAAAAAATAATTTTGTTGTACCAACGATTGAACCGAGGACATTTAATGACTGAGCCACATCTCCAGCATTTTTAAATTTTAATTTTAACTTTACTTTGGAATAGGGTCTTGCTGAGGCTGGCTTAGAACTCTGATTCTCCTGCCTCAGATTCCCGAACCACTAGGATTAGATGTGTGTGCCACCTTGCCCAGCAAGAACAAAAACATGGGCTAAGCTGTACCAAATACTTTCTAGAAGTTCAGAAAAACAATGGATCATATACCATATCATATATCTTATTTGTTCACAGGCTGAAGAAAGGCTTCATGGAGAAGGTTCAATCTGGGGTAGTCATAACTGAGTAGTGGAAATGGGAAAAACATTATGGCTAATAGGTAACATATATGTAAGGACAGGTAACATGAGAAGATTTTGCTGACTTTTTAAAATGCAGAGGCTCAAGGAAAGACAAATCAAAAACAGACTACAGATGTTTAATAATGGGCTTTGGATCTCAAATTGAAAATTCTGCATGTAATTCAGAAGCCAATGAAGAGTGATGATTTAAAAAAAAAAACATTGTCAAAAATTTTCAATATATACAAAAGTAGGAGGATAGTACACATAGCCCTAATGATGTTGTGCCAGATGCTATGACTCCGTTGATAATCTTGTTTCATTTATACATTCAACCACTCACCTCTTCAACTAGATTATTATGAAACAAACTGATATTTTATTTCATTCAAAAATACTTTAAAATGTTTTTTCCAATATGTAAAAATTCTTTTCAATAAATTTATACACAATAAGTATCATTATCATACATTCAAAAGTAATAAATCTGTTGATTTAATCAAATATCTAGTTGGGCCAGGAATGGTGGTACATACCCATAATCCCAGAGACTGAGGCGGGAGAATCACAAATTCAAAGCCAGCCTCAGCAACAGTGAGGCACTAAGCAACTCAGTGAAACTCTGTCTCTAAATAAAATACAAAATAGGGCTGGGGATATGGTTCAGTGGTCAAGTGCTCCTCAGTTTAATCCTTGGTACTGCTTCCCCCCCCAAAAAAAAAAATCTATCTTGTTTTTACATTTCAGTTGAATTGGGAAAGAAGTTTAGGATGGAGACATGGCAGAATTTGGTGAGTGTGTGTTATATGAAAGGAGGTCTTGAATAAATCCCAGGTGTCTGTGACATCCAAATGAGGCTTATGTGTGTGCGAGTGATGATCATATTTAGAAATTGCTGATGCACCAAACTAAATTCCAATCAGCATTTGGCATCCAATTTGGGAAAGAAAAAATAAATGGCAACTTTGCTTGGGCCATACATATTTTGCAATTTGTACATAGTCTGGACTCTGACAAGTAAAGAACACTGGCAACTGGGCAAGGATGATTTAATGGCAAATGTACGTTAGAGTATAGTCTACTGCACTGTGCCAGAGAGCTTTAAAAACTTCTTTCTCCCATATCCCTTTGTTTACATTTCCACTTATATACCAAGTATAGTAAACCTAGATATTTCCCTCTCCTTGGAGTGGATTTGTTTGTATTCTAGAGCAAGGTGTCTGATTGTCTCTCTGTTTCCCCACAATAGATGTGCCAGCTGTTTTAAATAATCTCTGAGATGCATAATTTGGGGTCTTCTCTCCTATATTGCAAACCCTGATATAAAGCTGAAAGAGTATCAATAAAAGGAACATTCTTGCCTCCTTTCAGGTAAAATTCAGGACAACTTTAACCATGTATGAATTGGAAATTAGGCTAGAAAGAGAGGGCCTTATTGACCTCATGGCTTATCAGAAGATAGGCTCTGCAGAAAACTCCTCAGGTATGAGAGGGTAGCTATAGAGAGGTTGTGGGTAGATCTTAAAGGATTTTCTGTCTCATACAGAGACTTCGAGTCTATAGTATACATAAGGACTTGCCTTAGGCAAAAATTGAGTCATAGAAGCAGGTGAAGATATAGATCATGCCAATTATAAAAGGTAAAAGTCAATGCTCACATTGAGTGCTAAAAAACAGAAAACAGCTGTGTTTTCAGGTCTTGCTTATCTCCTCAGAAACAAGGCAGCTCAGAATATTTATGGGTGATATGAATTAATTTCAAACAGAGAAAGGTTTATGTATAATTTCAAGTTTACATACATCTTGTGATGGGAAGCCTTCATCATCATCATCATCATCATCATCATCATCATCACCATCATTATTTTTTTCAGCATCTCAACTTAACTCTTAGGTAAAAGCACTTATCTGACAGGTCAGATAAATGATAGTAGAAAGAGTAGATGTGGTAATGGAGAAATATCTTGTGAATTTATGCATCTGCAGAAATGCAGGTTAAAACTGTCTTCCAGTATTACATGTTTGTAATTATATGTGTTGTAATAGCATGAGAGATGGTCAAATTGCTCAAGGAAGGTTTTTAGAGTGGAAATGATAAGAATAAAGGTTGTCTAAGGAGGATCCTCTGTGAAAAGCAGGAGCAGAAAGGAATGAAAATGGCTAGATTGTCTTCAGACATAGGAGAACAAGAATAATTTACTATTTCAAAATCAAGAAAAGAAAGAATAGTAGAAAGGGAGAGAGCTGCCAACAAGTTAAATGCAGCTAGGACTAGGAATGAAAAGTCAATTTGGCAATTTAGTAGGTCACCAGTGATCTTATCAAGAGCAATTTCAAAATGCTGGATGTGGAAAATATAAATGTGGGCAGAGCAGATTGTCTTTAACTTCTTTCAATACAAGTAGAAAACAATTTATTACTACATTACTATTAAATGCATTTGACATCAAACACTTGTTTATTAAAGAAAATTTTTCTATTGATAAAAACAAAACTGATGATATAACCAAAAATTTGAAAAGATAGAGTGAATTTGCCATCTGTTATCAATGTTCTAAAAGTTACTGGACTTAAGTGTACCAATAATATTCTTTTTTAAAAACTTTATTTTTATTTTTATGTGGTGCTGAGGATCGAATCCACTGCCTCACACAAGCTAGGCAAGTGCTTTACCATTGAGGCACAACTCTAGCCCCCAATAATATTCTTTATCTTTATTCACCTGGTAAAATTTTACTACCATGTTTTCATATATTTGAGCCTAGAACTTTCAGCAGGTTTAGAGCTGTCCCACTACTTTTACTTGGTCAGGTGCCAGAAACATAAATCTGTGTGACTTCTTTGCTGCTTCTATTAACTCTTCTGACCTGAACAGCCTGATTTCATCAACACTTTTATTTGATTTAACTTCTCTTTTTAAAAATTAATTAATTAATTAATTTTAATTAGGTATGTATGACAGCAGAATGTATTTTGAT